GTTTCAATACAGACAAGTGCAGGGTGCTGCACTTGGGCAGTAGTAACCAGCAGCACACTTATAAGATGGGAAGCTGCCTTCTTGAGAGCATGGAGGCATAAAGGGATCTTGGAGTCATTTTTGACTCCAAAATGAACATGGGCCAACAGTGCAAGGTTATGGTTGGCAGTGCTAACCGGACCTTATCATGCATCCACAGGTGCATCTCAAGTAGGGCCAAGGAGGTGATCCTTCCCCTCTATGCAACACTGGTCAGGCCACAGCTGGAGTACTGTGTCCAGTTCTGGGCACCCCACTTCAAGAGGGATGTGGACAACGTTGAGAGGGTCCAGAGGAGGGCCACCCGCATGATCCGGGGACAGCAGGGCAGACCCTACAATGAGAGGCTATGGGACCTGAACCTGTTCAGCCTTCACAAGAGAAGGCTGAGGGGGGACCTTGTGACCGTCTATAAACTCACTAGGGGGGGACCAGAAGGGTTTGGGGGAGACCTTGTTTCCCCTAGCGCCCCCCAGGATAACAAGGAATAACAGCCACAAGTTGTTGGAGAGTAGGTTTAGATTAGACATCCGTAAGAACTACTTCACAGTTAGGGCAGCTAGGATCTGGAACCAACTTCCAAGGGAAGTGGTGCTGGCTCCTACCCTGGGGTCTTTAAGAAGCGGCTCGATGCCTACCTGGCTGTGGTCACTTGAGCCCAGTTTTCTTCCTGCCCAGGCAGGGGGTCGGACTTGAAGATCTACAAGGTCCCTTCTGACCCTAGTTCTATGATTCTACGATAAACAAATATCACCAAATGAATGGGTCAGCATGCCAGGATGTGTCCCAGTTTCACTGGGCTGCTTCAGAGCACCTTCAGTCTGTAAATCTCTTGGAGACCCAATATCTTCAAGAGCATCTAAACAAATAAGGAGAAACAAAACAGTTCCTATAGTTTGTTATTCTAGAGAAAGAAACTAATGCTTAGGTGTGCAAAGTAGAGATTAAAAATAGTTATTTCAAATAACTTCATTTTGAGCATATTACGCAATGAATCTTCACAAAAAAATTATGACTGATTTTTTTTCTTCATTTTGCAGCAAGGGAAACTTGGACACAGGTGGATCAAAGCCTGTATTTCCAAACATGGCTCAAATTTGAGTGCTTCTTTGTTTAGGTTCTTTGAAGCTAACAGGAAGTTTCATAACAACCACAGTAGCTTTAGAACAAGCCCTTGGTATCTAGACATGCCTTGACTATACAGTGATACCTTTTAGGTCTGCTCCCACTTCTGTATCCTGAGATCTATACCTTGTCTTCCTTTTGCTGACAGATTCTTTGATCTAGTTTCTCTGATGTTTCAATTTGTAAATAATAAATATGTAAGTCAGACCTATCACTGTTCAGGTGGAAATGATTCCCAGTCTTTTGCTTGTGGTGGAATCTAGGTAAGGGCTCTTTCTTTCAAATAACTCAATAAAATTATATATTAAAAATCACAGCCAGGGGTTTTTCATTAAGGTGATATGCAAAGATCAGTAGCAGGTTTGTATGTATTTCCTTTCTCTGGATGTGTGATTCTGCTCATGAATAAGTCTGGTCCCATCTGTACTCTGGGTTTTTTTTTTGGAAGACTTTTTTGGGTGAATGGAGGACTAATTGCATTGTGATCTGACAGTTGTCTGGGAAATGAGGCTTGAGTAACTGAGAGAGAAGAACTTTATTTAAAACCCTTCATTTGTTGTTTTTTTTCTGAAAATATCCATTTCACTCTAAATACTCAACAGTTGGCAGAGAGGGGCTGTGCTGGGGATTCCCTTCCTTTCCCCCACTCCCCTGCACTGCTGAGGGATAAGAACATTCTCCTTCTGGTTCTCTATTTCTCTAAGGAGTTCTTGAAAAATAGAGAAGGCAAGACTTTGTATACACAAGATTTCTGACAGAAAAACAAAATAGAAAATGAGTAGCAACACAAGATTTTTGACGTAGAAAAAAATAGAAAATTAATAATAACCTTTAACAGCAAGAAAGGACCAAACCCCATTAAAAATTTGGTTTCCATGTCAACTTGGAGCCTAGCTCTCAGGGTGCTTGGACATCTCTCATAAAGACTACCTCTAGGGATGCTTTAGCCCACTCCCCATGGGTACTAGCAAACATAAAGATATTTGCAGAAGTGTTTTTCCTACTCCTTTTGCTGGATATTGTTTGACTATGCTTCCTCTTCCTGTTTCAGCCTGAAAGGATAGACCCCAGTGCATCAAGGCAAGGCTACGATGTTCGCTCAGATGTCTGGAGTTTGGGAATTACATTGGTATGTGAGTGGTTTTATGATGTTCTGTGAAACAAGGCTTCCTATCAGGTATCATAGGGCTTCACTTTACAAGGTAATAGAGTAGGCCATGTTTCCAAAGTGAATGCATTATAGCAAAATTCAACCCCCTTTGCTGTGAGTGGGAGCTTTAGAGCCCATTTACACACCAAGATGTAAATAGACACCTACAGAAGGCTAAAGAATTCAGTTCCTTATAATGTAGATCTGTGGATCAAAAGTAATGTCTTGCAGCCTAAAATGATCAGCAGAAAGAGTATGGATTTTGAAGGACTTTTCTCTTTAAAAATTCAGGTGTAGAGAATGCTGAGTATGATATACTAGGGAGCCATGGCACCAGGGCTGCATGAATAACATATTCACAGTCCCAGCTTCAGGCGGACTTTAACAAATCCTGCAACAAATCCTAGACACTGGTCCCTTTCTAACTTTGGCACTGCTACATGCCTGCACTGATATCTTTGGAAAACTCTTTTATTCTTAGGCTGGGGAGTTGAGGAGTGAATAGTTAAAAGCAAATAGAAAAAAATTTGGAAGTGTCTATATAAGGAGCTACTGCTAACATGCTGTCTTCCCCTCAATGTTTGAAATGTTCATTCCTTCATTCTCCCAAAGGAAAATATCAGTGTTGCACAGGGACTCTAGGACACTAAGGGGGGGAATCTTATTTCACCTTTATGGGCCTCAGTGCATGCATGCACCTTACTTACGTAGCCACATAAGTGTCATTTTCAGCACTTACACAGATTTTAAACTCTGTTCCCACTTCCCTAGCTCTACTTGCCCTGGACTTCCCCTGTGAGCATGCTCAGAAGACTCCACTATAGCCGCACAGTGGTAGAATAGGATTGCCTGGATACAAGCATTACTCCCAGAGCTCTGGCTCTGGCTCTAGCCTCCACTTCCAGTGGAGCAAAAGCCATCCCACTGCTTTTTACTCATTTTATCCAGCAAATATTAAAGGCAAGCTGCAGAAGTCACTGGGGATAGAAGCCAGAGTCCCACCCCCACCTTCCAGGATAATGTCCACTTTACTAAGTCACGTTTCCTCTGGCTTTCACTTCTCCTGGCCCCACATAGTTTCCCTTTTGGCTGCTGAGTGAACCAGCTTCACAGGGAGGGTGCTGTGAGCAGTGACCAGCCCTTGGCCTGATGACTAGAGTATTTAGCTGTTAAGTGGGAGGTTCTGGTTTAAATTCCCTCTGGGTTAGGGGGTTTTAAATCCTGATAGTATTATTCTTAGCAAATGCCTTAACCAGTAGACTCATGGATTAAAATACAGGAGGATCTCCCCTTTCTCCTCTGTTTTGTTTTGGGCTGTTGCTCAGGTACCTGGATGATACTATGCTGTCACAGAGGGAAACAGAATCTAAAATCTGTGTAAGTACCAAAAGTTGCACTTATGCAACTAATTAAACATCACATAGGTATGCAAACATGAAATAGGATTTGGGTCTAAAAACAGGTTTGTGGAAGGGAGTAAGGAGCTGAAGAATTAACTCACCCTTGCTTTGTACGTTTTCAAGAATGATGCATAAATTGTCCTTTCCTGATTAAACAAATCCTTTGTATTACTTATTCTTACCCATCTGGCATTGTTGCTGTCTCTTTCCAGTATGAGTTGGCCACAGGGCGATTCCCATATCCCAAATGGAATAGTGTATTTGATCAGCTGACACAAGTAGTAAAAGGAGACCCACCACAGCTGAGTAACTCAGAGGAAAGGGAATTCTCCCCAAGTTTCATCAACTTTGTCAACTTGTGGTAAGTGTTTCCTACTTGAAACATTTGCAGTTGGCTAGCTATGTTAATATTATAGAGCTAGCAAGAGTTACATGCCTAATCTTTCCAAATCAATTTTATGTACATGGAGTGTTTTAGGCCTGCAATATTACAGTAAATTCCCCTTGCATTCTGTCTTTGGAAAACCAAAGAATGATCCATGACAATCTATATCCAGGCAGAAGGGTGGAAGGTAGGCCTATGGGACTTTCTTTTTAGGAAGCAATAGGGAGAAGATTCATAATAGTTTTTATTTAGGGAAGGCAGGATATTACCCATGGCAGTAAGTCTGCATGACTTGGGTCAGGGGCCCAGGTAAATAGCATATCTGTCTGCATGGTTAAGGCAGGGCCCAGGAGCATCTGTTTTTCTGCAGGCGGTATTGATGGGCAGGTGGGAGTCAATCTTTATTCACAGTGGGAGTTGAGATCCTTTGTAGTCTTTCTGCATTACAAAGATCAGCCTGCCCATCTGGCAGGGTTGGGTCCAGGCCTTTTGGTGATCAGTCTGTCTGTCTGACAGCCATTGGGCTCCAAAGCAATCAGTCGGTATGCAGGGTGGGATCAGGATTAGAACTGGCTGGGAATTCTCTAAAAAGCAGTTTTTCTTCAGCAAATTGTAGCTCATTGAACCTGAAATAGTTTATAGAAATATAGTTTTGTCAGATGTAATAGAACATCAGAAGATTTCCATCAGCACTACTGTTTCCTGTGAGCTCACCTAGTTGTCTACTGGAGAGTCAAAGCTTCCAGAATTTGCAGCTGCAGGGCAGCCCCACCTGGTGAAATGTCACATATCACAGCCTTCAGGGCTTCCAGTTTCCATATCAAGCCTCAGGAACTGAGAGATACCCTCATTAGACAGGACTTGACTCCCAACTCTGCAGCAGAAATCCTTCGAGTCCTGATGACTCTGGCTGGAAATGCCACAGAGCAGGGAGCAGACTTCCTGCCACAGAGCAGGGAGCAGAGCTGAGGTTCAG